TTTCACATATGTAACTCTAGACATTATAAGCCTATCAGTACTCTTGATTTGTATTGTTATACTTACTGCTTTATTATATATATTTATTGAAATTATAAATTTGCAGATTATAGTTATATATATTATGGGGTACAAAGTGATATTATGATTCATGAATTCAATGTGGAATGATGAAATCAAGCTAATTAACATACTGTCACCTCAAGTACTTACCATTTTTTGTGGTAAGAACATTTGAAAATGTTTTCTCTTTGCAATTTTGAAAGGTATGATATATTATCATTTAGTGTATTCACCATGCTATGCAGTATATCTCAAAATAAAGACCACAACAAAAACTTACGCCTTTGACCATCATCTTCTCCTTATTCTTTCCCCCCTTTCCCCCTCATTCTAGCCTCTGGTAACTACCATTCAGTTCTTTGCTGCTTAGAGTTCCATTGTTTTAGATTCTACGTGTAAGTGAGGACATGTGGTATTCATATGCCTATGCCTGGCTTAATTTCTCCAATTCCAATCCCTATACTTCAGTCTTATTTATTATTATTATTATTTAATCCTTAACTACTAAATCTGCCACCTGTGTTCATTTGCAGTTAGTTTCTGTTGACTTGACATTTTTGCTAATATGGATCATGTTTTCTGTTTCTTTGCTAGTAATGTTTGGTTGAAAACTAGACATGACATGGTAGGTAATATATATCAATTTCTGTTTTGTTTTTTTGCAGTGTTTTTACTTTCTTTCCTTTTTTAGGCGGGGAGCAGTAAGGAGGTCTAAATGTAGGTGGTTAAATCCAGGGTGTACAGTGTAGGTTTTCCAGTGGTTTCCAGTCATCTGTTTTGTTGTAACTGCTATCTGTAGGATGGTTATATAGGCACTTCACTCCTCCAACATTGAGCTTGTAATTTGTTATTGTGTTTTTAATTTCTTGCAGTTGGCTGACTATTTTTCTAATTTCCTATTTTTTTATAGTTTGTAATTTTCTATTAACATATTCATAGTTGTCTCCTATTTCTTTAAATGTAGTACTCATAATTGTTGTAATGTATGTCTGATAATTATAGTAGTATCCGGTGACCTGTATGGATATGTTCCTTGTTTTTTTTTCTGATTCAGGTTCCTTATATCCTTATTTCCCTGATTATTATTGATCTTTGCTGCTGGTTACAAGTGAAAAATTACTCGTGATTATCGCTCATGTCTTCTTCCAGAGAAGATGTGTGCTTATTCCTTTTAGGTATCTATGAGTATTATCAGTCTGGAAACATTTGAAAACAAATTATTGACTTAGTTTGCTTGACCAGCCTAATAAGGCAAATTTATACAGCAAATCCGTGTGATGTTCAGGTCGTTATTACAATCCCACATGGTTTGGCCTGGGAATTTCTTCTTTTCCTCTCATTTGACATTCAATGCTTTTACAATGATTTCTTATTCTTTCCTGAACATTTTCAGTTGTTAGTTGAAAGGCTGGTCTAAATAGTAAATTCTACCATTTTGTCAGAAATGGATGACCTGCAGGTTCTTTAGACTTTTTCCAATTTCATTAGTCATTAGTCTTTGTATAAATATTTTTGTAAGGAAATGTATGAGGTTTGTGAGCAGCATAAAAACACAAAATAATAATTACCAAATAATAATGAATGAAAGAAATATGTTTAATATAATTGTATAAAATGATTTCATTCTCCTCATCATTAAAATAGATTTATATAAAATTATTGGTTGATAGAGTCATTCTGAAAGTCTTCATAATAACACACAAAACTGTTGATTGATAGAGTCATTCTGAAAGTCTTTATATACCAGTAGACTTTCAGCTTGATGTTGTAGAATAGACAGAATATAGCTCAGAAAGGAAGGAGTCAGATTATCTAGGTCAGGGAAACAGCAAGATACCGAGGGAGAGGTGAATAATGTTTTATACAAGTGGTATTCGGAAAGGAAACTAACCTGACTAGTTCTTGTTGAAAGTAATGGGAAATATTATAGGATATAGATAAGGTTGTTCTAGCTTCTGAGTATCTCAGAAAAGTCAACAATAAAATTTAGTAAAATTGTGGGAAGTCTTATGTAGAGAGGAGAAAAGCAAAACATTTTTTGGAGACATGTTCTGCCTAAGTATTTGTAAGCCATTAAGTTGTTAATAATTTCTATTATAAACATAAACATCTTCAGTCTCCATTATGTAATGCTACCAGAAACCTTTCTGCCTGTGTCCTGCCTAAAGACTTGACCTCTCAATATGTAATAGGCCACATCAGCGCACTTTGTTTATGCTAATCATTTTGCTCTTTGTTGATTGTTTGCACAATTTGAATGGGCCAACAGTCCTGTTTCCTAATCTGATTTTGTAAACTCTGTTTTTATAGACATACCTCTCATAGTTTGACAAATCTTTGTTAGATCTTTTTTTTTTTCCCCATTGCTATAATTTTAAGTTTTTTTCTAATGTATCTTTCTCTCTCCCTATTTATATAGTGGCCCAGAAGCCCTTTTAAACTAGAAGCACTTCTAAGATTTAAAAAAATCAGTATCATTATATGGTTCATCTCCCAAAGTCTCATAGACATTTGTTAATTTGAAAGACATTTACTGAAAGTTTCGGTTTTCTGTTTTTCAGATGCTGGCATAATAGTGCAAAATGTGCATGCTACTTTTTTAGTGTGATCCTTTATCAAGATGTAACTTTTTAAAAATTCACATGCAGAGTTAGAAGGATATAATGTTTGACTTAAAAATTGATTTTAGCTAGCTATTTTTGGTAGTAGTGCATCTTAAATTTTATATTGATTATTGGTTATAAAATATGATTTTATCTTTGAAAATGATGTTTAAAACCAATTTTTCACATGAAATCTTGAACCGTATTGGGCTAAATTCCAAGCACATATGCAAGTATGATTTTCACCTTATGGTTGAAGCATTGGGCTAGAACCAGCATGAGTGTAAATTCTTGCTCTGTTGTGAAGTTGGGGCATAACCCTGGGCAAGTTCATTTCTTGCTGTTGAAGCAGGTGACCAGTAAAATACATTTATAGTCAGGTAACTGAGCAAAATTTGGCTCAAAAAGACAAAGTAAAATAAAATTAATAAAGATATCTCTTTAGACAAGTAGAGAAATATAAAAATCCAAGATAAGCTGAAATATCTTATGTCAATCCATACTCCATTAATTTAAGGTGGTCTGGTGAGGATAGTGACGCCAGAATTAGCTCTTTCTCTTCATATCGGGGAAATCCATAAGACAGCTGTTGTAAAACTTGTTCAGGTAATAGGTCATCTTATGATTTTTATCAGTAGGAAATATGGCTGAATTATATGTATGGAATATAAAACCACATCCAGGAACACGTAAAAATCTTAACCTTTAGAGCTGCACCACCAAGTGAGCATCACCAGCTGTTTCTAAGTTTTTCTACTAATGTTTGTTTGGTGATTACAATCTTAACTTTGAGGAAGTATTTTCCATTAGACCTTTTTTTCTTTTTCCTGTGAACTGGAAAAGTTACTGTTAGTTTGTTTTAGCAGTGGAACATCTGAGAGGGAGTCTATTTTAGAAAACTTTCGAGGTGACATATTTTAATCTATACTTCCTCAGTTTGTATAATTCAGTAGCTAATAAAAAGACTGTTCATTTAAGGGAATGTGAGCTATTTCTTTCCAATTTTTTTTTTACTGTGGTATAATACATGTAGCAGAAACTTTACCATCTTAATCATTTTTGAGAGTACAATTCAGTGTATACTTACAAGTGTATTAATACATTAGTGATGTGCAACCATCATCACCATTCATCTCCATAACTCTTTCCATCTTATAAGACCGAAATCCTAAATCCAAAGAATGTTAAGTTTTGAACCACTAGTTTACAATCCATAATCAAAAAGTGATGTTGATTAAAAAATTTTTTTTCATTATTTTAGTATAAGCCACCCGCACTTAAAAAGTCAAATTCTCCTGGAACTGCATCATCAGGATCTTCACGATTACCGCAGCCAAGTGGCACTGGCAAAACTGTTGTAGGTAATGATAGCCGTAAAGCAACTTGATTTGTTTTTAAAACCATGTTGGCAGAGCAGGAAATAAAGATAGTGGTCTATTCTGGAGTATTAAGATAGATTTATAATTAAGAAGAGATGTGGAGGATAAGTAATTATTTCTGAAAATAAAATGACTTTGAGTAGTTTCTACTTTTAACTTTTTTTTTTTTTTTTTTTGAGACGGGGTCTTGCTCTGTCGCCCAGGCTGGAGTGCAGTGGTGCAATGTCGGCTCACTGCAACCTCCGCTTCCCAGGTTCGAGTGATTCTCCTGCCTTAGCCTCCTGAGTAGCTAGGACTATAGGTGGATGCCACCATGCCCACCTAATTTTTTCTATTTTTAATAGAGATGGGGTTTCACCAAGTTAGCCAGGATAGTCTCAATCTCCTGAACTTGTGATCCCCCAACCTCAGCTTCCCAAAGTGCTGAGATTACTGGCGTGAGCCACCGCGGTGCCTGGCCATTTATTTTGTTGTTTTTTCAGCTTAAATGTTTGCCCCAGATGTTGTTATTGATGTATCACCTGTTTAGAATAGTCAGCCCAGTACTTTCTTGATTCTTTGATCCAGAATTTCCCTCTCATTTTACACTAGCTCTTCATAGCTTTCTGAACTTGGCAATTGTTCTTAGTAGACAAATACTTAATAGTTAGAAGAAGATATGGACCACTGATATGTACCTTTATTTATATATAAATTATAAGAAAGAAATTTAGAAATTAGAATTGAAGGATGCTATATATTGTCCCCTGGAAATGCCATTTAAAAAATGTCTTCAATGAAAATTTGATTTATAGTTACAAAGATTATTATGAAATCATTGTTTTCTTTGTTAGATGCTCTGTTTTATGTAACTTTTTTTTAGAGTATTGTTAAAAATAATGCTTTTTTATTATAAGGTGTGCCTTCAGGCAAGGTGTCTTCAAGTAGCAGCTCTTTGGGAAACAAACTTCAGACCTTATCTCCCTCTCATAAAGGGATAGCAGCCCCTCATGCAGGGTAAGTCTACATTGGATATAATTATTAGTGGTATATCATTAAATGATACTAAAGTTTTATTATGTTTTGATCATTGCTTTTTCATTAATCTTCATTTCCAAAGTTCATTTGTCTTTTAACATTTTTCTGGTCAGGAGCACACTCACTGCTGTTGAGTATCTAAATTTGTATAACCATTTTAGAAAATAATCTGATATTAAAAGCCTTAGAAATCATAACTTAAATTGAATAATTTTACTTCTGGGAATTTAGTCTAAGGAAATAAATTGAAATGTTGAAGATTTTTATACTAACTATAATTTACTAAGCACTATGTATCAGGCACTGTGCTAGACATTTTGCATATATTTTTGTTAAAACCACTTCATAATCAAGAGATAAGATCAGAGAAGCTCAGTTTGCTCAAAGCCACATAGCTGTTAAAGTTAGAAGCAATATATAAATTGGGATCTCTTTGACTGTAAACATTAGACTCTTTTCACGTTTTTATTATAATGTTAAGAATAAATCACCAAAATGTCTAGCTTTGTTTGAATAGTAAATTATGAAAATCTATAAAGGGATATTTTGCAACTATAGTATGTATATACATTTTAATAAGGTGATTCTGTTAAGAGAAAAGTGTTAGCTACTAAACTCTATGTATAGTATGATAGAAACAGTGGGGTGATTCTCTTAATTTAATGCTTTTTTATATTTTTCTACAGTTATATTTATATGGCTTTTAATGAAGTATATAAACTTTCAATAGTTATGGGAAAAATTGTAACAGTGGAGATATTAATATAAGGCCATATATTTTTAGAAATTTACCTATTTTGTATTTTGATATATCAGAAAATTAAGGGATTGCTACTGGACCATTAGAATGAAGGTGTATGTCTATATCTTTACATATACTAGTACAGTTGATTAATGAAATACAGCACACATTATTTTCTTTTTTAAATTTTAACTTTTAAGTTCAGGGATACAAGTGCAGGTTTGTTACATAGGTAAACTTGTGTCATAGGGGGTTTGTTGTATGGATTATTTCATCATCCAG